ACCCCACCCCGCCACCCTGAGCCTTTGCCCCTGCTGGTCCCACCACCTGGAATGCACTCCCTTCTCCCTGTCATCTACTCATAGTCAACCACCCTTCAGGGGCTAGTCCCTCCCAGCTCCTGCAGGAAGCCCTCTGGGACTCTGAGCTCCATCAATGACTGCCCAGGGTGTCCTGTCCAGAGTGAGGGTTAAGGCTGTGAGGAGCCGAGTCCCCAGTGAACCTGAAGCCCTTGGAGGCAGTGTAGGATAATGCAGTTTGGGGATGTCACACTGGGCCTCTCTAAGTAAGTGGAGTTAGGGGTGGGGGCGAGTAGGCCTCCAGGGCCCCTCTCCTCACTGCTGTGCCCCAGAGCTCACCAAGGGTACCATCTCTCTACACCTCCTCTCCTCAGCTCCCTCAGCCCCCTTCCCACCCTAGGTCCCCATCATGTCCACTTGCTACCTCCATTACAGAGGAAGGGGCTTAAGGGTCTAAGAAAGAGATTCCCAGGGGGACTAAGGCCTAAGGCCCTGCCCATACCTTCTGCACTGGAGGACACATGGGGCCATGGGGGGGCTCTCCCAGAGGAGAGCCGCTGTGGATGACCTTGACAACTCTTGGGTGAAAGAAGAGAAGAACACCAAGTTGTGAGAGGGGGTCGGCTGGGGGACTCCTGAGGACATACTGAGGCATGTCACACACATACACACACACACACACACACACACACACACACACACACAGGCCCCTTATAAGAAGCAGCACTCTGTCTACACTGGTCAAATAGAACTGGATCTGAATCTACTATAGAGGCAACATCTACACTACTGTAGCCTGTGGTGGACACCCATGGACTTGAAGCCAGATGGGAAAGGCCCCTCCATGCCCAAGAATTTGCAAATTTGCACAATTCTTTCTTCAGCAGACACATGATTTTGGGAACTCTTCTACCCTCCCTGTGCGGTCTCCGTTGCAACTGAAAAGTAGAGTTACATAAGTCTTGTGTCTGGGCCCAGAGCCCTCTATGCTGAAATCTCTGCCTAATGGCTGCAAAGGGGGTGGGGAGTGCATAGGTTTTGGCCAAGATCATCAAACACATCCAGAAGGATCCCTGAAGGCTTCCTAACACCAATCCCGGGACCTGCCTCCTAGGTCACAGCCCTCAAATCTGTGTACTGGTTGGTGCCCCCCCACCCCCCTCACTTTCTGGCCTCCTGATTTGGTCCCAAGTGTCACTGGGGACCCCAACATGAGTCACCCCTCAAATGCCACACTGCTCATCTCCAAGTCTAACTGGACACACAGCCAGGGAAAGAAGGCAGTGCTGGCAGCGGGAAGAACTTGCTCTTTGCCGAATTTCAAAGGACAAACCCAGAGGGACAGGGGAGAAATCTGATTTTTCTGCTTCTTAAAGGGATTATGCACAACGATGGCTGGTGGGGAAAGAAAAAGAAAATCTACCAGCTAAAAAGCGCAGGAGACTTTCCAGCTGGGAGCCAGGAGCCTTTGGATATCAAATCGACATTAATATGGTGTTCAATGAGGAGAGGAGGCAGGCTGGGCCCAAACTGGCAAGGGCTTAATTAGAGCTTCAGTAAAACCCGCCCTGAAGGCATTTTGCTTTTGAACTGTTCTCACCCTGCCCTTCTTCCAGGAGCAGAGCTGGGGAAGGGATTAGTGGTCTTTAGCAGCCCGACTCCAGCAGCCCCCGCCCTCCAGACAGCTTGACATTGTCAGGAAGGAGAAACATCTGGGCCAGGAGTTCAGGGACCCAGCTGGACTCTGGCCAAAGAGCCCGAGACACCTGTTGGGAGGTACCAGGAGAGACCCAGGACCTTTCTGGGGTGGGATCTGGGGAACAGAAAGACTCCCCACTGTGCTCTCCAGGGACCTGCTTAGGTGTGCAGGAAGAACGTTCTCGTGGAGGCCGGTGTCATGTGCCAAGGCCAGATGGAAGCCCCATCTGCTCCTTTAGGATCGAGGAGCTGTGCAAGCCAGGCCTTAGAGATGGCACCACCTCGCAGACCCCCGAGGCCTCAGGGCAGTGACATTGGGGTAGCTGAGGCGGCAGGCAGTCTCTGGAGTCAGGGAGTCCTGAGCCCCTTCAGAATGCTGGTGCCTTGAGCAGCTGCTTTGTTCTATTTTTTAAAAAATAGCTTTATTGAGATATACAGGGGCCGTGGTGGCAAAATGGTTACGTGGTCGGCTGCTAACCAAAAGGTTGACAGTTCGAACCCACAGAGTGGCTCCATGGAAGAAAGACCTGGCAATCTGCTTCCGTAAAGATTACAGCCTAGAAAACCCTACGGGGCAGTTCTACTGTGTCATATACGGTCACTATGGGTTGAAAATCCATTCTATGGCACCTGACAACATTGAGGTATAATTCACATACCATAAAATCCAGCTGCTTATTTCTAAGCCTCATTATCCTCACCTGTGGGATTAGGCAAGCAGCAGCCCCATCCCACGGAGCTGTGAGCAAGGAGCACAATAACACCAGTGAAGCTCATAGCCCAGGATAAGTTCACTCTTCACCAACTGGAAGCAATGTCATTATTAACAGGGGCTCCAGGTACAATGGGGCCCCTGGCGTAGGCTCAGCTGTTACAGAGGAGGCGATGCCTGCCTAGAGGGTGTTGCGTGGGTCACTGGCTGTTGCATTGGGACTCCCTCCCCCACTCAGTTCCCAGCTGCTCGGAGCTGCGTTCAGGACTGCAAAGCTGACAATGTCCCCCAAAATGTTTGCCATTCCGGCCTGCAAGAGGGGCTGCCTTCTTCTCACCACCTAGGGCCTGGGGACCCTCCCACTTCAAATCTTACCTCCTCTAGGTTCATCCTCTCTGGCCTCTGACTCTTTCTCCTGAACTCCCAGCTTTGCATAATTTGCCCTCTACCCATTGCACCAACCAAATCAAAAGCGGCTCCATAAATGGATTCAAGGTCACTCCGTGTCTGTGGATGTGTGTAACAGAGAGACAGCGTCCGGCTCCCACGGAGATGGACCACTCTTTGAAGGCAGACACAGCACCCATCATGACTATTTTTACTCCCTGTCTGCCCACCACAGGCTCAGCAAAAGCACAAGTCACAGGTGACCCAGGCCAACGTATGCCCAAAGACTGGCATTTCCAGAGTGACCCCACCCTCCACCCTAAGGAGGATTCCTGGGCCAGCAGGCTCCCCTGAAATCCTGAAATCTCCTGGCTAGCCCCTGCCTCCTGCAAATGCCTCCTGGTGGAGAAGGGAGGAAGACAGACAAAGAGCTGTGTATGGTGTGTTATCCTCTGGGTCCCACTGAGGGCTGAGCAGGATTGCTTCTGAAGGAGGAGGAGGATTTCTCAGAGAAGGCTTGGAATGACCCCCCCCAACCCCACCCCCCAGGAATAGGGAAGCCTGAGTGTAGGGGGCAGATCCCTCCTCCAGCTGGTGGAGAGGACTCTCTGCCACTTAATGGCCAGAGAGAGGAAGGGTCACAGCATTGCCCAAGGAGTAAGGAGCCCCCGCCCTCTCCTCCCTGCACAGGAGTGGCGGGGTGATTGGGGCACTGCTTCCCAGCTGGGAATGGGAAAAATTCCCATTGGCCACCATCTTCCTGGCACCCTCTGGGAAGGATGAGTCCCCTCAGACTCCTGGCACCTGTGCTGGGCAGGGTCTGGTGAGACCTCTAGGTGAAATCAGAGGGCCACGCTACCCCAGCACCCCAGGTCTGGAACACATACAAATCCTGCCTTTGGAGAGGAATTAGAGTCGGAGGGTAGGAGTTTCCAAACACGTTTGTAGCCTCAGAACCCTGGCAGTGGGCTGCTCTGGTGGGGACAGGAGTCTGGCCTGGCCCTGTCCCTGACCCACACGCTCGGCCCCCAAGTGTCCAGTTGTCCATGTTCTCAAATCCCCTGCTCCACAGGGCTCCCTTCTGCCTTGCCTTCTCGGTCCATTCCCACAGGTCAGCCCAGCTGCTAAGGGCCTGGGGGCAGAGGAGGGTGAGGGAGACTGGGATGGAGGTGGGGCACAGAGCACTGAGGTGGGAGCACCTTTGGGAGACAAGGCCCTGAATGTGGCAGGATTCAGTGTGGCCTCCTTGCTGCCTGCACTCTCCTCCCCAGACCACCTTGTCCAACTGGTCACCTGGTCTCAGGGCTCTTCTAAGCAGTGCTTTGGAGGGGCAGGAGGAAGAGTTATCAGGAGCTTGAAGCAGCCCCTGAATCCCCTGGTTGGCTCTCGAGGAGAGGTTGACCCGTGTCCCAGCAGCTCTAGGGTTCTAGCGTTCTCTACGTCTAACAGCCGAGCCCACACCCTGCCCTGAGCACCACGGCTGAGAGGCAGGGAGTCAGGCTGGAAGTGGGAAAGGGCAGGGCAGCGGGGTCACTGGCTATACCCTGGCACCCACCTGTGGGCTGTGGGGTGCTGGGTACCTTGGGGGCCCAGGCAGTGGATGTGGAGGGGGCAGGAGTAGTGGGGTCCTCCCTCAAGGCCATGGTGGCCACAGGGACTTTGGGGACAGGGTCTTTCCGGGACTTGCCAACGCCTGGTGAGAGATGAGAAAAGCAAAAGCCGGTTGGGGAGCTGGCGGGTACTGGGCACCCCAGAGAAGCAGCTTACATCTGACCTTGCAGCCACGTTTCCCCTCTGGCACCTGGCTTTCTTGCTGGCTCCCTCTCTGCCACTGGTATCCCAGCAGAGGGCAGCCTAGGGGAGGGTGGCATCGGACGAGGAGTGTCCTGTGGTGGCATTTATGAGACTTAGGGTCTGCCCTCACTGTGTGACATTGGTAAGTCCTTCACTGCTGAGTCTCAGGGCAGATGACAATCCCTACCTGGAAGGTGGGTGTGAGAATTAAATGAGGTATTATGAGCATCCTAGGAGCCCTGGTGGTGCAGCGGGTAAGCACTCAGCTGCTAACCGAAACGTCGGTGGTTCGAACCCACCAGCTGCTCTGTGGGAGAAAGACGTGGCAGTCTGCTTCTGTAAAGATTTACAGCCTTGGAAATCCTATGGGGCAGTTCTACCCTGTCCTACAGGGTTGCTTCGCTATGAGTCGGAATCGACTTGACGGCAACGGGTTATGAACATCCTAGAGTCCCTGGGTGGTGCAAATGGTTAATGCACTCTGCTGCTAGCTGAAAGGCTGGAGGTTCATGTCCACCCAGAGGCACCTCAAAAGAAAGGCCTGGAGATCTACTTCCAAAAAATCAGCCATTGAAAACCCTATGGAGCACAGTTCTACTCTGATACTCATGGGGTCGCCAAGAGTCGGAGTCAACTCGAGCATCTTGCTTGCCTGGTGCCAGCGAGTGCTTAATAAGCAGCAGCCACAGTGACGACTCTCTCACTGACAGACTGCTGGAATACCCGCCCTTCCCTCACCCTGCCTTGTTGAGTTCTCAGGACTTCCTTGATGCTCCTTCAGATGCCCCGTTCCCGGACTTACATGCCCTTAGACCTGAGATTACTTGGATAACCAAAACATGGCGAACGGGGCTGACCTCCCCCAGCCTCACTGTGACCAAGCCCAATGCAGAGGTGGGAACGGCAGGCTGCCTGGAGGAGGAGGACTCCACGTTCAGACTGTGGGATGCGGGGGACTCTGCCACAGGTCAGGGAACAGGGCGATCCCTGCTTTTGTCTGGCAGGAGAGGAGCTTCTCCCAGGTTTGGGTGACAGAAGAGGGTGGGGAGGCAAGCAGAGAGAGGTCACCTCACCCAGAGATCAAGGGCACCTGCAAGAAGTCCCATTAGATTTCCAAAGCAGCACTAATGAAGCTCGCGGGGAGAAATTGAGAGGTGGTGGGCTGCAGGCCACAGCAAAATGGTGATACAAAGGAGGGGATGAGAGGTGGAGAAGCAAATGAGGTGCAATTAGAGGCAGAAGCAGGCCCAGAGGGACGCTGAAGGCCCTGCTCAGCTCTTGCTCTTCTGAGGACATGCAGAGAGGCTGGTGCAACGAGGGTCCGAGCGGCCCTCCCTGGCGGCCAGCCCAGGGGTGTACTTACTGCCAAAGGCGGAGCCCGCAGCGGCACCTGCAGGAGAGAGGACAGGGTCACAGCGCTGCCAAGGAGTAAGGCACCGCCGCCTTCTCCTCCACTCAGAGAAGGGCGGTGGGGGTGGTGAGCACAATGGAGGAATCCCTCCCTCAGCCAAAGGGAAAGAAACTGAAGGTCATGAGAACCTACTCCTTGACCCTGATGCTAATGACCGTGATAACGATGAGCTTCTCTGAGCCCACACTGTGTAACGGCTTTGGGGTGTCAGCCCATTCATTCTCACTGTCGCCCTGAGAGAGATGAACCACCATTAGCCCCATTTAGCAGATGAAGAAACTGAGTCTCAGAGCCATGACTTACCCAGTGGGACTTGCTGATAAGTGTCAAACACTGATAGGAGCTTTACACGACCCACCCGCCCTTCCTTATTTACTTCTAGACTTCCAGGTCCTCCAGGGCTGGACAAAGAAATTGGGTGGAATTGGGCGAGCGTTCTCCAAGGGGTGATGAGATGTCAGAGAACATGCAAGTTCACAGCCACAGGGGCAGACTGGCTGGCTGGAACTTTGATGGGATTTATCACATGGGTATTCCCATCTGGGGAAACGCAGGTGTGGCCCAATAACTTAATAAAACATAATCGTGGTAACCACCACGTTAAGTGCTTCCTATGTGCCAGGCAGGAGTCCCTGGGTGGTGTAAACGGTTAAATGTGACTACTAATCAAAAGACTAGCAGTTTGAACTCGCCCAGAGGTGCCTTGGAAGACAGCTTGGTGATCTGCTTCCAAAAGGTCACAGCCTTGAAAACCCTATGGAGCAGTTCTACTCTGCATACATGGGGTCGCTGTGAAATGGAATTGACATAAAGGCAACTGGTTTGGTATATTCCAAGCGCTGTGCTAAAGCACTCTCCTTATATGAGCCCATCTAGCCCTCACAACAGCCCCATGATGGGGTTTTATTATGATCTTGATTCTGGGGATGAAGAAACTGGGCTCAGAAAGTAAAACGACTTGTCCAAGGCCACACAGAACTCAAGCTCTTACCACCAAGTCATACTGTCTACCTCCTATGACTCTGGTGTGTGCCTGTGCCTCAGGTGAGGCAAAGACCCGGAAGTGATGGAGAGAAAGGTGAGGGGAGGCCTATGATCACGGCTTACCAGGGTAAGAATCCCCACGGTCAAGAAGGGAGGGGACAGGCTAATTCTCCAGAAATGACAAGAATAAGGACACCTCCCAGCCCCCAGGGAGGCCCTCCCGGGGTGGACGCTGTGGTCTCCCCTGTGAAACATGGGTCGCATGGGGCCTCTCCTGGGTGAGCTGAGGCTGTGCCTTGGCTGGAGGGTCCAGGAAGGCCTCGGAGGTTTGAGTCCTCTGGACACACATTCATTCACTCACCGAGGGTGCACAGGAAGGCATGGCCTCAGGGCATGTATACACCGAGGAAAGAGCAGGTGAGGACATGGGTGTGTGGTGCATGCTCAGGTGGGAAGAGGCAGGAGGCTGGGGGCGGGGCACAGAGGAGGGACAGTGCCAGGAAAGGGACCTTTAAGATGAGCCCTGGAGGGTGAGCAGGAGCCAGCCAGTGAGGGGCACAGGGATGGCCAGGAGTGCTCCAAGCCACAGGAACAAGTACGAGGATGCAGTCTCAAGAGATACCTGTGGGGTGGGGCATTCAGGAAATCAGACATGGAGGATTCAAAGTTGAGAGGTGGTGGGAGGTGGGGCCATTTGGCAAGAGTCTTGTACATTGTTGTGGGGGTGGCTTGATGAGATAGAATTTTATCCTGAGGACAATGCAGGTGGAGGGGGAGCTGCAGGTTGAAACAGGTGAGCTCGCAGTTCTCAGGAAAGCCCTTGTTTGCAGCAGGAGGATGGAGTGGAGGGACTAAGAGAGGAGGCGGGAAGATGGAGAGGAAGCTGCTGCAGGTTGAGGGAAGAGACGGAGGAGATACAAGTGGGCAGTGGTGGGAATGGAGGGAAGCAGCGGGTTCAGGAGATACTCAGGACAGAGCTCACCAGGCTGGGTGAATGTGGGGGGAGGAGAGGCTGGAGTCAAGGGTGACTCCCAAATTTGCAGCTTGGCCTATTTACTGGGATGGGAATATGGGCAGAGTGGGGTGAGGGCAAAATTAGCCCAATCTGTGTATCTTTGGGCTGTTTTCTCCCGGTTTCCTGACACTGGTTGCCCCAAGGAAGCTGAGGACATGTAGCAGCTTCCAGAGCATTCCAAGAGAAACTCCTGGTTCCTGGGGCTTTCGGTGCCTCTCAGAGAATTCCCAGCGATCCCTGAGGAATCAGGGAGCAGAGGCCAGTTCCAAGAACCTCTCTGCTATGGATTGAATTGTGTCTTCCCAAAATTTATGTTGAAGTCCTAACCCCTGGTACCCGTGAACGTGGCCTTGTTTGGAAACAGAGTCTTTGAAAATGTTAGTAGTTAGGTTAACATGAGGTCATAGAGGAGTAGCGTGGTCCTAATCCAGTCTGAGTGCCGTCCTTACAAAAGACGAGAAGCGACATGGAGCCAGAGGCATACAGAGAGAAGATGGTCAAGGAACGCCAAGAAATGCCTGGGGCTACCAGAAGTTGGAAGAAACAAGGAAGGATCTTCCGCTAGAACGGACAGAGAGAGCAGGGCCCTGCTGATGCCCTGAATTTGGACTCCCAGCCTGCAGGACTCTGTGACAATAAATTTTTGTTCTTGTAAGCCACTCAGTTTCTGGTGGCAGCCACAGATGACTCCTACCCTCTCCCAAGCAAGGCAGCTCCAGCTTCCCCTGCCTGGATGCGCGAGCAGAGGGTTCAGCCTGTCTGTCCATCACTGGTCAAAAGGGAGGGCTGGCCTTCAGCCTGGAGTGGGCAGTGGGCCCTCCTGAGTGTGACCGGGAACCAGGCCTGTGGAGAAAGTCTTGGTCAGTTGTAGAAGATGGACAGACAGGAGACCTTGGAGCATCCTCCCGGAGAAAAAAGGCGCAAGTAGAGCAAAAGAGCTGGAAGTGATGGAGAGAAAGGTGAGGGAATGGGGAGGGAAGAGCAGAGGTGAGAGGAGGACTCTACGACAGATGAAAGGGAGGGAGGGAGATCAGGAGTCAGAGAGACAAGTGACAGCAGTAGAAAGAAAGGAAGGCTTTGGGGCAACAGAGAGACAGGGACAGAACACGTGGGGCGGGGCGGGGGGGGAGGCGGGCTTGTCAGCACCCGGAGCTTGCTTTACACCTTTGAAGATCGCGAGTGCCTGCAGTGCCTGCCAAGTCACCCCTTTCAAAGGCCTGTCTCTGCCGCCATCCTGGGCACTGGCACGGCACTCCTGTCACGGCCTCACTGCATTGCTTTCAGCTTTGAACAGCCTAACGTCACACAAATCTTTCACCCATTGAGGGAGCGGCCTATGAGTGTGCCTAGGGAGGCAGGAAGTTCCTGGGGCAGGAGGCCACCCAACTACCCTCACCTTGCGTAAGACCCAGGGACTTACTTGAGTCCTGGTGCTGGCACCTGACTCACTGGGGTGAGAACTGAAGCTCTCAGGGCCTCAGTTTGCTGATCTGCAGAGTGGGGTGATAAAAATACTACCCCTCAGGGTGGTTGTGAAGGTTAATGGATGATGTGTATGAAGTGTCTGGTGCAGCCTATGGCATGTAGAGAGCACTTGAGAAATGTCAGATGTGTGTAAGTCCACACGTGGGTGGGTCTGGGGAGAGCTCCTGAGGGCCAGCCTGGGCTCTTCTTAGCTTCCAGCCGGGGGCTCCTTGGGCTTCTTGGTTTTATAGAGATACCCGTGTCTATGCTGGGGCCCAGCCCGACTTTTACCAAATGGTCCCCAATGAGTGGGGGTCTCTCAAAGGGTGTTCATGATGCAGGGGTGTGTAGTAAACCCTGAGGGTAGCTTCTCCTGGGACTGGGCTGGCTGAGCAAGGAGAGAGAACTGTGTAGAGAGCACGGGCAGGGGGCAGAGTGGCTGCAGAGCACACCTCTGTAAAACGGGGTACTACAAGACCAACGTCAGGGCCATTTGCTGTAAGCACACCATAAACGTTCAATACTGGGCATGGTGCTGCTACTCAAATTCAGCCTGGAGCAGAGGTCTCCACCACCCTCACTTCCTGACATCTTGGCATCCTCCTTCCCAGCCTTCAGGGTCAAGAAGGGGAAGGACGGCTGGAAGGATGCTGAGCAGCTAATGTCTGGTTTCCCTGCAGGCAGGGCCAGAAGGGTGGCTTAGATTTCGGCAGAATGTAGGTGTGATGGAGAATCTAGATTACAAGCCCTGGCACTAGGGAGCCTTGTAACAAGGGTGTGTATGTATGTCTGTGTCTGTGTGTCTCTGTGTGTCTGTGAGCATGTGAGTCTGTGTATCTGTGTGTGCCTGTGTCTGTGTGTGTTTATATGTGTCTCTGTGTATCTGTGTGTGTTTATGTGTGTCTGTGTCTCTGTGTGTGTATGTGAGATCCATAGCTCCTGGGGCTTGACGGGGGAGACCACGACCTGGTGGCCTGGTGGTCCGGTGGCCGGGTCATGGCAGCCACTCTGCTGGTACATACAGGCATTGGGGGAGCCGTGGGGCAGCGGCAGGTAGGAGCCAGCCCGCCAGGACCGCGTGCGGAAGTTCTTCTTGCACTTGCCACAGTCTGGGCCGGTGGTGTTGTGCTCACACTCACACTGCAGGCTGCCCTCACGCATGGAGCACAGGTTGGCGTGCAGGTTGCACTTGCACCTGGGGGGACACAGAGGGAGGAGAGACGTCAGCGAGCTGTAGGCAGCGTCCTGGCTCCAGGGGGAAGAGAGCCAGGAGGAGCTTCGAAGGTGCTGGAGCTGGCCTGGAAGGGACCCTGGAGGCCCCTAGCCCAACCTGCCCTGATACTCCTTCCTGCTGAAAAATCCTCCACTCCTTCTCCATCTTGGGAACAACACCACTTTGAGCCCCTTCCCCAGCATGAAAGCTGTTTGTCTACATTCCTCCTGGATGGTGGTTTCAGGGTTTCCTACCTCTTGGTTGGGGTGGGGCTTTGAGACCCCTTGTCCCAGATGCTGTTTTCTTAGTTACACAGCGTGTGATCCCCTTAGCCATGACGAAGGTAGGTTGAGGGGCACCAAGAGGTGCCCACCTGCCTCTCACTGTGTAGATGTCTGCCTGACCACAGATGGTGGCAGCACCTCTGCCCTCAGCCTGTGGCCCAGGCCCGTGGCCTTGAGAGCAGACAGAGAGAAGCTCTGACTCCCAAACCCCTGTCAATTCATCCATGCATGCATTATTCATTCATTCATTCAAATATTTATAGGCAACTTATTATTCTGAAAACTGGTAAATAAAGGGAAAGAATCAAGCATTTATCCTGCCTGTCCTATATAAATTGTTCCTCAGGGTAACCAAAACGTTAACGAATGGAAGTTTCTCTTTATAGAAATATTCCAGCTAATAATTGAAGAAGGAATGATAGAATGAGAAGATCATTGAGACAGACCCTCCATGAGATGGATTGACATAATAGCTGCAACAATGAGCTCAAACAAGCAGTAAAAATGGCATGGTGGGGGTTTCTGGCCTCCTCTAACTTCACAAGAGGGAAGGAGAATCAAGATTAACAGCCAAGGCTGATTCCTAGGAGGTGATCAGACATGCCTCCTCTCTCTGCCGTCTTTACCAATTCCAACACCAACCCTCCCTCCCACGGCACTCTCTACTTCTCTGCTGGGTTCCATAATTCATTGCAATGACCACAGAGAACTTACAGACCATACTCACAATTATGTGGTTTATTAGGGAAGGTTACAATTCAGCTTCAGGGAACCCTCAGTGTACAGTTCTTTGATCAGGATAGCCTCTTCTCAGTCATGCCTGCAGGCAAGTCTCTTTCTGGCCCTCAGCCCCTTGGCCTGGCCTCTGCTCTGAACCTAGCTCCACCAAGTGCCCGGAGGCACCCTGCTCCGGCAGCAAGCCTCCTGCCCGAAGGTGCTCAGCTTTCTTGCTCTATGGGCCCGGAAGACCACCACGCCATCTCCTGCTGGTCTCTCCTGCCAGTCTCCTGCCTCTACTGCTGCAGTTTCTCAACCACCGCTTCTTGCCATCTTCAGTGTTACGGTTCTTTCTCTTGGTCTCCTGGTTCCAGGAGCTTCTCAGCACAGGGATCCTGGGTCCAAAGGACATGCTCCACTCCTGATTCTTCTTTCTTGGTAGTGGTGAGATCCTCTCCTCCCTCCTCTGGGATGGCTCATTTTAAGACTACTGGGATGGCAAAACTGACCAATCCCTTTGTTAGGGCTCCATATACTTTATTTGCATAGTCCCACTCAATCATTGTGTGTGAGTCACAAAAACTATAGCTAGAAGGGCCATAGTAAGTAATTCATTGCACTACAGGCCACCCCCTAGCTCTTCTAGCCATTGGCCCTTTCATACTTGAGGGATTAACTTCTACCTTCCAATCATTTTACCAGTCCAAAACAGTCATTAACAATTAGTTCTTCAGAAGGGCAAAGAGTCCTCGGGGTGAGGTTACTCAGGTACTAGCCATTCAGGTCTGCTGCAGGTCATCTCAGCTTTACCCTTCCTGACGTCTGATAAAATTTAACTGAGAGGACATTATTCCCTTGCTCTGAGCCTCATAAGGTATTAGCACAGCAAAACCTTTAAGGGACTTTAGGTTCAGCCACTGTACTCCAGTCCAGCAGTGCGTTCTCCTTAGTCCACTCTTTCATGGTTGCTACTTCTACAATTACAGTTTTTACAATCAAAATTAACCCTGTTAACAATCAACACAGCTGAATCATATAATTGTATCAGAATCATGAAGATGACTCAGGACTGGGCAGCATTTTGTTCTGTTGTACATAAGGTCTCCAGGAGTTGGAGCCAACTTGCCGGTAACTAACAACAACAACGAATGAATGGCTCCAGGCATTGAACTGCTGAGAATATCACAGAGAGAGAGGACCAGAGAGAGTTCTCCTGGTGGCAGAGCTTACCCACCTCCAGAGCAGCCTTGCCAAAAGAAATTGAACCTGAATTAATCAAGCTTCCAAATCCAACTACCAGTTTATAGGAAATACAGAGGACAGAGGAACATACTAAACAACACCATGGGGGATGTAATCAGGGAAGACCAGACTGAGGGAAATGCTCCAGAAGAATGACCCAGTTCTTCAGTAGATGAATTTCAAGAACAAAAAAGATAAAACAATCAAACAAAAAAACACATGGAGAGGGGACTGAGATTAAGAGAAACCTCAAAGGTACATCAACCAGTTGTAGTGTGTGGACCTTATTTGGATCTTAATTCAAACAAACTTCAATAATAAACAAACAAATGGAATTTATATTTATAAGACAATTGGAAATTTGAAAACTGACTATACTTGATAATATTAAATTAATGCTTATTAGGTGTGATGATGGTATTGTGATTGTTTGTAAAAATCTTTATCCCTAAGAGATACATACTGAAATATTTAAAGATGAAATGATCTGATGCCTGGAATTTGCTTCAAAATACGACAGGAAGGGGACATGGGTAGAGATACAGATGAAACAAGAAGGGCCATGAGTTGGTGATTGCTGAAGTTGGGTGACAGGTATATGGCGGTTCATTATAGTAGATTCTCTCTACTTTTGTATGCAGGTTGGAAAGTCTCCATGATAAAAACTTAAAGAGAGAGAGAGACTGTGCTCTATATTCTGGTACGGGAAGATGTCTAAGATAGATTGTCAATATTTGTAAAAATCAAATTGCAGAATAACATGTTTAGTACAATCCTATTTTTATTAAAATATGCAAAGAAAAATATTTATGGGGCATCTGGTATGTGCCAGGCTCTGAGCTGGGAACAGTGAATATAACGTGAACAAGGCAGACGGGTCCCTGCTCTGATAGGGTGTAGGGTCTAGCAGCGAGACAGCAAAAAGATCAGCGGTTTGGGGGGCAGGAGGAGGATGAATAGGTGAATCACAGGCGTATTCAGGACAATGAAGCTATTCTACATGATTCTGTAACTGTGACAGTATGTACTTGTCAAAACCCATAGCACTGTACAACAGAAAGAGTGAGCCCTAACATAAACTGTAAACCAAAATCAAACCAGTTGCTTTCCAGGTAAGTCTGATTCATGGTAACCCCACATGTGCAGGGTGGAACTCCGTTCCATAGAGTTTTCAAGGCTGTAACCTTCAGGAAGCAAATATCAGACCTTTCTTCCAAGGTGCATCTGGGAGGGTTCAACTCATCAGCCTTTTGGTTAGTAGTTCAGTGCTTAACCATTTGCTGCAAACTATGCCCTTGAGTTAATAATTATGTATCAATACTGGTTCATCAATTTTAACAAATGTATCACAGGAATGCAAGAAGTTAATAATAAGAGAAACCAAGGTGGGGGAGGCATATGGGAATTCTCTGCTTTCTGTGTGATTTTCTGTAAACCTAAGACTGCTCTAAAAAATAAAGTCTATTAACTTAAAAACATCACACAAATCTTAAATTAATTTCAACTGTTACAAGTGCTCACCTGTTATATGAGGGAGAGCATATCATGGGGGGTCCTAACTTAGTCTAGGGGGAGAAGGTCAGGCTTCCAGGAAGAACAGAGTTTTAAATTAAGACCTGAAGGAGGGTGAGGAGTTATCCAGGCAAGAGGGGAGAACCCTCTGGAAAGAGGCAAGAGTATGAGGAAGACTCTGGTATTGAGAGAAGCTCAACCTGTGAGGCTGGAAAGAGTGGTCTGAGATGGGGCCTGGAGGGTAGGAGAGGGCTAGACCATGACACAGAGGCTGAGTTTTATTCTGTGAGGGATTAAAAGCCATCGGAAGCTTTGAAGTGCCTGCTCTGGTTCAGATTTTGGAATCATTGGGCTGCTCCATGGAGAATGGTTTGTTTGGGAGACAAGAACCCAGGCAGGGAGACCAGTGAGAAGGCTGCCCTCTGGCAGGTGACAGAGGACGGTGGCCTGGACTAGGGTGGGTACACCTACTGCCCACTAGGCACACCCCTCACAAGCTCTCATCATCTCAAACATTGTTTTCTGAATGTTTAACCAGCATTTCTTCTCTAGCTCTTCATTTGCCATCTTCTTCATACCCCATCCCTTCACTGGACCAAGTGATACTTCACTGTTCTGCATCACGCTCCTTAGATCCTCACAGACGGAGGTGTCTCCCCTCAGCCTCTGCTTACCCACACAATGCATATTTAACTCCACACATCTTCCTTCCTCCATAAATCAGTCCTGTCAGACCCTCTGTCTTGGCTCTTGCTACCTCCCCATGTCCCCTCATTTGTCTCCATCTGACTGGTAATGAGGGCTCATCTGTGGGGCCGGCCTTCCAAGGCAAGGATGCTGAGCTGGGAACGGGCTGCTCATCTCAATCTGGTGATAAGCCCCTGCTTCTCTCAGCCCTGCAGATCTGTGCTAACCCACTGGCCGCTGGCTTTGGGGCCACCAGGGCTGCCCTCCTTCTTGGAGTCTTGTTTTTGCCCTGCGATTATTCTGCAGGACAGTTAAGGAAATTAAGGCGCATCCACGCAATGGAATGTTATAAAGATATTAAGTATTGCAGTTTCAAAGACTATTTCAAGCCACAAGGAATGCTCCTAACACAAATGAAAAAAGTCACACTTACCAAGTGCTGTGTGCCAAGCAGGAATCTCATTCAATCCTCTAGTGACCACGAGAGGTGGTACCACTGTCACCTTCCTTTTACAGACAAGGAAATGGAGGCTCAGAGAG